TATGCAATGTATGAAGATATCAGTGCCAACGACAGCGGTGATTCGCAGTGTTCTTCAGATTATTGGAAATATTTCGACAGTATGATTTTAAGAAGTCGAATGGAAATTGCTCAAGAGAAACGTTTACTAAACGAAGTTATTTACCATGTGAGCAATTTCAAATTTATTGTGGGTCTAAGCGTTGCTCGAGGAATGCTGCCAGCAGTCAAAATAATAAATTCTATGCTAAATTTACCTGAAGACCAAACTTGCATAACTCTAGCAGATTTCGACTGGTACGAATTTCTGGAAAAGGTCTCCAAGATGGTGAATGAAACTGATGCTGCCGTCAAAGACTCTGCTAAACAAGAAGTGTCTGGCCAACAGGCGTTATCCGAGAATTTGACTCTATATGTTATATCGTTTTTCGGTGAACAAACTTTAACTCTGAAGTCGGGTAATTGTACATTGTGTTTTTGTTTAGATGATGTTAAACAAATTTTAACTGTTAGTCATCTTATCAATTATAGGTTAGAATTAGTTAAGAATTTGAATTTCATTGTATACTATGATGATTACCTACAATATTTGAATGTAACTCACAATACCAACAACAACAACAATAATCTTATGCAATCAATTATCAGCATGTGTAACTTGAATAAGTGTGAATGTAGCTGCTACTTTCTAGAACTTGCTTCTATGAACCTCGATAAAATTGTTAGGGATTTAGATAAGGTCAACGCATGTATCCAATTTAATTAGTAGTAATAATAAATATTTAAAAACAGGATTGCTTCTTATTTTTTTCACAGTCTAATAGCAACCTTCAAAGAGCCAAAATGTCTGAATGTATTACTGGTGGCGAATGCCGTGATAAATCTTCCTGTATGACAAGCTGTTTGTTTGCTACGTACTAGATTAGAATCAGACATGTACAGGGTGTCCCACTAAGGTCGGCCAGGTACGATATTATGGAGACCATAGACCTTACGTAACTTGAAAACGAATGCAGATATTGAATTGCGGTTTGCGCCAAAATGTAGATATTTTTTTTTGCTCTTTAAGCACAGCAATACAAAAATAATATTATGCCATTTGGATTTTTCATGGAAATTAGAAAAAACTGAATATTGAATAAACAGCGCCCTCTAGAAGACGCGGTGGGAACTATCGACCTCGAACGAAGTGGTGTTCTTAATAACAATGAAATTCTCTTCCAAATAAACTCAAATTGAATGAGTTTGAATGAGGGTTATGGAAGATACAGCAATTTTTAAAAAAAATGTTCACCAGCTTCCCCCACTCTTATTACTGGAGATACGAAAAAAAGCCTAATAACGAAAATGGCGCAAAAATTAATAAACTTTTGATTTATGTTGTTAAAACAGTATCTTAATATAGCGATTTCTTGAGAAAAGTTGAATTTTTAGCTATATCATCGTAATTGCGCCCCCTAGCGGTCATCCTAGAAACTTGAAAATAATTTCCATCAATTTCTCTTGGCCGATTTAGTGAACAAAAAAAAAAATCCCGAAGCCGTAAGGTCTATGGTTTCCATAATATCGTACCTGGTCGACCTTAGTGGGACACCTGGTACTTTTTACTTCGAGAACTTTTTGAACTTGAGAAAAAACCCTCTAATGGATTCGGCTGGATTTCTGCGCAAGATGTAGAAAAAAATGAAAATGGTGTCAATTGTTGTAATCTGTATCTGGATAATTCCATCTTCTTGGAGGACCTATGTGTGCTAATGAATAAATATGGAGTACATGAACATATAAAACAGCATGTCGCTTAATATATGTGTGAAGATATGATTTTAAAATATATAGGTTATGATGAAGTTGACTAATTTATACATTTTTTAAATAATAAAAGTTCCTAATAAAAATGCTTTTCATTAATAATTATCATTACACCAATGTAATAGTAATTCGTTGGAGCTGCTTGTTTATATTAGCTAAGTATATTACCGGGTTTGATTATTGTCATTTAATTTTCAGTCCTAATTTCGTGATCCAGGCTAGTAGACTAAACAATGACATCATGTACTGTTTAGAGAGGCATTATTTTACATTCTTTTTTTTTTGTATTGACGATTGGCTGCTATTTTATTGAAATTCTTTAAAAAAAAAGGGGGCCGCGGTCGCAGCAGACCCGGTCGGGTACTAAGTGTATTAAAAAAATTCTTCATGTAAATCAATTTTTTTCTTCTGCAAATTTTCGAACGGGAGGCAGCCATTAAAATCACCCATATTCTCATCAGCTTAGTAGCCACATTCAGCCCTCAAAATGCCAGACAAAAAAAAATGACTCCACTAAACAGCCCCTATCTCACAGTCTAATTGTAAAAGTTGAATTTTGAGCTGGATTGAGATTGGAATTGACTTTTATTCAATCAAATTGATCTTCGGGTTTTCGGTATACGTGCGGAACACATAATTTCAGAAAAATTGCAAATATGTGCGTGGAAATTTAGTGGCCTGATGAGCTGCAAGGAATTAAAAAGAAACCCTCAGTATAGCTTAACACCCAAAACCATGTGGTTGTCCTGATTAAAAAACCAATCATGGGCGCCGGCAGGGGGGGGGGGGGGCAAATCGGGCATTTGCCCCCCTGGATTCAGAAAGTTGAATTATACAGCAAAATCAAAATATATATTTATTCATTATAAAATATTACGACGAGCGAAATTTGATCGTGGCGCCATCTAAGACTAGGATTCAACACTAAATAGCACTTTTGCTGTATTTAGTGATGACCATCTAATAGGCCGACCAAAAATCAGATAATTGGGAAATCCCAGAATAGGGAAAACAAGTTTTCTCCTATTATCCACTATTTTGCCTACAGGCACTAAATTTGGATTGGTTTTCTTTGCTTTCCTAGCCATATACTGACGAGTCCTGATAGGTCGAAACGCGTCTGTGCATGGAATAGCAGAGAAAATTAATCCAAAAATTTTCTCAATTATTTTTTTATAAAATATGGAACACTAAAAGATATGTCAATAGAAATCCACAAAAGAGCATACCGTACATTTTATCGTCCACGGAAAATTGTTCGAAAATAATTGTTCGAAATAAAATTGTTCGAAAGAAAATTGTTCGAACGGAAAATTGTTCGAACGGAAAATTGTTCGAACGGAAAATTGTTCGAATGGAAAATTGTTCGAACGGAAAATTGTTCGAACGGAAAATTATTCGAACGGAAAATTATTCGAACCGAAAATTAATCGAACGGAAAATTATTCGAACGGGAAATTATTCGAACGGAAAATTGTTCGAAAATAATTGGTCGAAAGAAATTTGTTCGAAAGAAAATTGTTCGAACGGAAAATTGTTTTTTTGCCGAAAAATCAATAGGTAGTTTAACAGTGAATCGTGAATGAATCCATGACCGGAGTTACCCAATTCCTTAATTCTTACTAAAGTCTGTTTTTTTTTTTAAGATAATTCCCAAAATCAAAAATTTAGTAACTATGTTGGCAACACAAGTCTTTTCTACATAAAAAATTTGAAAGCATTGACAATTTTACATTCTGACTTTTATCTTAAAAAAAAAACAGATTTTATTTGTCCCTGATTCCTAATTCTTGGTTTTTTAAATTCAATATTAATATACAAGGACTAGCACGCATTAGGTGGACGGTTTAATTTGGGTTATTTTGCATTTTTTTGGGTTATGGCCACTTGCACAGTTAGTATAACAGTAGTTTAAAATGTAACTATCAGTTATTTCTGAATTTTGGCTTGCACCGCAATTTAAGCCATGGTTAAACTCGTCTAAGCCACTGTTGAACTAAGCCACCGATTTTGGAGGCTTAATCGGTATAAACCACAGTTACTACGAATTCTAACCTAACCTCAAAAGTCAAAAAATTACTCTGTGCTTATTCCGACAAAAATTAATTAGTTTCTAAAAAATGGATTTTTGGGAAGACGACATATTCCTAGAGGATGATATGGATACATTAGATATAGTTGATATGGGTTTTCCACGAAGGGTATATGATAGACCACTTCCACAACATGGATAATCTCACCTTTTTCAAGAGATTTCGTCTCTTGAAACCAACCGTAATTGGCATATTAGAGCGAATTGAGGAGGACCTGGAGTTTCCTCATGATTTGTAAGTGCACTTAACCGAAACAATCATTTTGCAAAAGTTTTGGTCAGGTTAAGTAGGTAGGTATGTGAAGTGTAAAACGGTGTTTCAGGAACCACAGTGTGTCTCCAATCAATCAGCTACTAACGACTTTGCGATTTTATGCTAGTTCTGGACATCTATCGGCTGTTGGCGACTTTATGGGCATGCACGAATCAACAGCAAGTAGGATAGTAGCCAAAGTCTCATCAGTTTTGGCAAGACTCTACCCTGAGTTTGTGAAGGAACCGAGAGCGGAAGAGTTTCTCAGAATCCACACAGAGTTCTACAACATCGCAAGATTTCCCAGAGTGTTAGGGATAGTGGATTGTACCCTCATCCGAATAAATTCACCAGGTAATTATTACAGTGTTTATAAGCCTTCAAATATCTATATGATAATACCTCCCTTTCCTGCCACTTTTTAAAACTTATTATCATAATAGACCTATTTATTTTGTGATAAACGAAGATGCAAATACGGATTTGAGCTCGCTAGACAGAGAACCCGATATATTTCACGCGCCACTGGAGGTATACATTTAAAAGCTGCGCAAACATAAGTGCGAGAGAGAGCACATTTTTTGTTCTTGTCTTATGAAAGCCCTGACGGTCAACAAGATGTTCGATCCTGTGTCAAGTTCATTGGAGCGGTGGGTTTGATCGTCCCATCTTTGTTATTTGCATATCAAGACAAGGAGAAAAGGATCAACCGACGAGTCGTACCTAGTACCTGAACGAACACGCTCCACCCCACCTGACACCCCGACTGACTAGGGGCTAGGTTAGGTTGATTATTTATTTATTTATTCAAGATTATAATGATGATTATTCAAATTATTGTCGTAAAATCAAGTAAAATGCATATTAAGCGAGATATTAAGGGAGTTAAGGCCCTCGGGAGGGTTCATTCATTCTTTGAATTTCGTTCAAGCAAGTTGTCAGCTTTCTTCGTGTGTTTTATTTTCGTTTCAGTTTCATTGTTATTATCCTTGGATATTATAGTGTTGATATTGTGTTTAGTGATTACTCCTGATAATATGGCTGATAGTAGTTTTTGGGTGAAAGATCTCTCCCTTTTCAAAGGCTTTCACTTTGGAATTTCAGCAGCCTTTTTCACAAAAAAATCGTGGACACACAGGCAGAGCGATCGTGGCTATAAATTTTTTGCTGAGGGGTATATTCATGATGTGTTCATACACAAGAATGAGTGTACCATCAAGGCGAAATGCTATAGGAGCCAGAAGAAGAATGAGAAGCCGCATAGCCTTCATTTAAAATTTGCATCAGTGGACCTTATGGTGGAAGCTCACTGTACATGTGAGGCGGGGTAAGAAAACGATAATTTGTTACATTATATTTACCAGTGTTAATGAAATTATTTTATTTTTATAGGAACTCCGAATCTTGCAACCACGTTGTTGGGCTGGCTTACTTTCTGCAGCATTTAATTTTGAATGGCTTTAAAGAAGTCCCAGAAAGTGCATCATGCACTTCAATCCCAATGGAATGGAATAAGCCAAGAGGGAACAAAATAACTGCAGAAAAAATACCTGAAAGTGTTTTTATTGACCCAAACAACATAAAAAGGACAAAAAAACCAGTTATTTGTCAAATAAAAAACCCCATAAGGAATGATGAGTTGAAGAAAATCAACCAAGCTAGTATCACAAACCTAAAAACTGTTTTAAAAGAAATTAACCCGTCCATACCATTTGCTAGTACACTATGTACTGAAAACATGGCAAATGATAGAACAATACTTCTACAAAATGGTATGTAGCAGATTTGTATACTTATTATTTATCTAATTCTGATGTTTTTTAACTTATAGGAATAAATGTGCCAGCATCCTCGCTATTGGGACATATGGCTCGTGCTGGGACCAAAAATGTTGCTGCTACAACAGGTCTTGAGAGGGATGAACACCTGGACGATCTACCTATAGCATTGCCATTAGATGATAAAGAAATGGTTGACATCCTAATAAGTTTGGCGCCAGTCCACCACGCCTCATTACAACCAATCTCTATGGAGCAAGCAGCAGAAATAGAGAAAAAGACAAGAACGCAGAACCAGAACGACCTTTGGAAAGATCTTCGTAAATTTTGGTTTACCGCCTCAAAATTTGGTTTTGTTTGTAGAAGAAAACTTTTTAATGACGAATTTATAAAACCATTTGTGTGCCCTCCAGATATCAGTCGTCTAAAAACAGTTGCTCATGGATTGAAAAATGAACCAATAGCCATAAGAGAATTCTTGAAATCAAATCCTCAATTCAAGTAGTTTAAATGCGGTTTGGTAGTGCACCCATATGCTATTCATTTGGGTGCAAGCCCAGATGGCATTTTGTACGACTGTATATCTTCTAGTTATGGGGTTCTAGAAGTCAAGTGTCCTTGCAGCACTAAGGCCGATAGTTTGGAAGAACACTTGAAAATAAAAACCTTCTGTTTGCAACAGGACGAAAATAATTTATTATCGCTAAAGGTCAGTCATGATTATTATTTTCAAATCCAGGGGCAAATGCTTTTAGCAGGATTACGATGGGCAAAATTTGTTGTGTATATGGCCAAAACACAACAAATTGTAGTTCAAACCATCCCTTTTGATCCCATTTTTTGCCAAAATATGTACAGGATATTAACTCAAAAGTATGAGATATTTCTAGCAAATGTAGAGGTTGTTCGTTTGTAAATATATATGTTTTTCATTGTTTCGTTGTTCATTTCTTATTGTATATATTAATTTAAGTTAAAGTATAAATTTTTGTACCATATGTAAATAATAAAGCATGTTTGATTTGTTTGTTGCTATGTTTCATAAATAAATTAAAGTGTTTTTCTATTTATTAAATTACAATTTTGTTTTCATTTGCCATGATTCATATTTTTTTTCACTAGTGACATAGACTATAGATTTGAAATGTACTTAAATACAGTAATAAAAGATTATGAAAAGTACTTTTTGTTTTTACACATTTTATTGGTAGTAGAAAAGATTGTGTACCTATTCAATATGTGTGTAAAGCACCTTTTTTCACTTGAGTGATTGTCAAGAATTAATACTTTTGTGAAAAAGGTTTCCTTTACACACTTGTTGCATAAATAACTATATTGAAAAAAAAAACATTACAGATAATCAGTTTTTATTGCATAATAATGTCTATGACTCAACAAATTAAAAGAAATGCATTTAAGCTAAAATAACAACAGTATCCAACATCTTCTTGCAACTTTAAAAGTGATTTTTTCATTGCTTGTACAAATTTATAAAAGTGGATAGTGAATACGGCTGTAGGTACATAATATGAACTACTACTACATGAGTACCTAATCATGTGGATTTAAAACAAAATCAGACAAGCAGGAACCTATTTGATTTGTGTCTTAGGTATTCGCTTTCATTGTCACTAGGCCATACCTAAAATTGCTTAATAGTATGCAAACTGTATAAATTTGTTGTATGGCACCTAAACTAGAAATGGGAATTTTTGATGACAATATATTATAATTTTTTAGCCTTCCTATGGCTCGTTCAACATGTATTCTTTCATGGGCTACTTTTCGAATCGTCGAGACTTCTTCGGTGGTAAATTGGGTACCACCCACTTTAAATACTGGGATGTTTATGTCTAGATTTATAGCTTGGAACAAATCTCTTACGTTAAACCCCTTGTCTGCTAATATAGTATCACCTGGAAAAATTTTTCCTTCATTAACTTTTTCTTTGAGGATATCTATAAACCCACTAACTTCAATAATCGCTTTATCAGAAATAGATCCTGTAAATAATGGTGATGTATAAATTATGGCCCCAGCAGGATCTATCATTATTAGCGATTTAAGAGTTGTTGCCCCCTTGTAGTTAGAATAGCATTGACTTTGTTTTACTAAAGATGACGGTCTTTGAATAAAAAATTCTGTACAGTCAATACTACCAATAACATTTGGATAGTTTTGTCTCATTTTATCAGAAGCTCGATTTATCAACTCGTTTCTATTTGGCCATATGTCCAAAGATCCCAATCTAAGGTACAATAAATTTATCCATGACAAAAATATGCTATTAACATAGGCCTTTGAAATGGAAAACATATCTGATAATGTTTCAATAGACATCCCCCTCCTCAATCGAATAAGTGTCAAAAAAAAATGATTTTCTGCGGATAGTTTGCTTAATCGTTCATGTTTTTTTACTCTGGGAGAAGCATCATAAATGGTAATGTCTTTCAAATCACCAGATGGTAATACCCATTTGAAAACCAAACACAAAATCTCATAGGTTTGAAAGCCTGTATAATACAGAATTTTTTTGTCATTTGCAGAAAACTGTTGCAGGCAAAAGAGTGGCTTGGGTAGAGATAATAGTTGTAATCGTTGGTTTTCTCGTTTCAGATATGCAACCTCGTTCTCCAAAATTTCTACAGTTTTCAAGCTGGAACAGTTCCCTTTACATATTTCCATGGAATCCTTTTCTATTTAAAATATAATATAATTATAATACTTAACTGTACTTATAATTAAAGTGTAGAAAATACCTGTGGTGTAGATGTTGTCAATGTATTAAGTTCGTCGTTCCCAGCTTGGTCTGGTTGATCCTCGGGTAGATCTGATATCCATGACATAGTAACTGAAGATGAGATGGGATTTCCAGTGGCATCAGACACTGGTTTCTTTGTTTGTATCTTGGTAATCTATGGAGCAAATAAATTCCTTATCACTGTGAACTTGATAACCAAAATATAATGAGTTGGTATAAATATGTGATATAAGTTCAGCTGCAGGGACAGTTTATCTTTCGACAGCACTTATATAACTTGGGGCATAGCCTCAGTGTACATGAAAAGTGAGTAATAAGTCAATCACAAGCATACCTTTGTTGGAGTCTTTACAACATTGGTGGTCAAAGTCAGCCTATGTTCTTTCAGAGGTGAAAAATCAGCATTTACTGAGTCATCAACCCAAGTCATAGATACATCCGAGGAGACATTTTCAGAAACCTACGACATAGCCAATTAATATCTTAAATATACGGCATCTTTTTAATAGCAATACTTTTGATGTGGAGTGTTTTCTTTGTTGTTTTGTATTTATGGCTGTTTCCACCCTGTAATGGGAAACACCAGGGGTTTCTGTGAGTACATTGCTTGTGGAGCAGACCGAGGGTGACATACAGTTTGCTGGTCTTGTTTCTGGCACTGGCATTTTAGGTGTATTTTCATTTTCTATTGTAGTTGTTGATGAACTGGGAATATTTTGCATCTCACCTAAGGCAGGCACCCCATCATTTACTGACCCCACACTTGGAATAGCAGATTTTTTCAATTTAACAACATTTCCTCCAAAAACAAAATCTTCCTTTTTGAAATGCTTCGAGCAAACCTAAAATATCCCATATTGAGATTTATTATAAACAATTTATTTATTTCTTACTCTTGGTCTGCAATCCCATTTTAACGCATTTAAACGCAAGGCATTTAACCAAAGCTGGCGTCTATTTTCATCTTTTGGATAACAATGAAATGAGATTCCATTGTTTTTTCTCAGCATCGATTTGCACTTCCGTACCGAACAATACTGTGGCATTATTAAAACTATAGATAACTACGTCTAATAGTCTAATAAAATAATAATAATGTGAATAATAATACCGCAAAAAACTGAAATATCAAATAATAACAACAAACAAAAACAAGGAAACATAACCACACAAACTCAAATCAAAATCCGGTAAAATGCCATTACTGTCATTTCGTCCTCCAAATTTTCACCTGCCTGCTACAGCCAATAGAAACTTACCTCCTCATGCGCACGCAACTTAGTGCATTCAGGTGTAAATGAATAGGTCTATTGATCTATCAATAATATTTATAACTCGAAGGGCTGTTTGAAATGTTTGAATATGTTCATCATTTGGCAAATATAGAGGCACTTAGCTGAAAATGTTACATAAAACATCCTATTAAAAAAGTTTTTTAGTGCTTTTATGATCACTCTACAATTGCTTCAATCTGATTTTTAGGTGGCGATGATGCAGAGGTTTTTCGCAATAGAAAAGGGTATTTTTCTATAATCACACAAGCTGTGACTAATGCTGATCTGAAGTTTTTAAATGTAGTAGCTAGATGGCCAGGATCAAGCCACGATAATACAATCTTCCTCAACAGTAGAATAAGACAAAAATTTGAAACAAACCATTTTCCCAATTCCATTTTGTTAGGAAAGTACCTAGAGGGCTGGTTTCTCAATAGCAAGTCACCCCTGGTTTAAGCATAACTCCAGGGTGAACATAGCAACTGGACACGCTTACCCTAAAGTCAAAACCAACCCGGAGGTGACTAGCTATTGAGAAACTAACCCAGTGTTTTAATTTGTAAAGTTGCAACAGAACAGTAATAAATTGACGTCAGCGGCCACATATTTTAATAGTAGGTACCACACTATTACAATTTCTGCTACACCAACATGTTTGCCAAACTGTGCAATTGTAATATACTTACCTACAACATTTTTTAGGAGATCGTGGTTATGCCCAGAGAAATTATCTGTTAACGCCATTGGCTAATCCTGTTAACCGCGGCCAAGTATTATACAATGAATCTTTAATAAGGACAAGAAACTCTGCGGAAAGAGTTTTTGGGATATGGAAAAGACGATTTCCAGTCTTAGCTTATGGGCTAAGACTAAAACTGGATACAGTTTTATCCATTATTCCTGCTGCCGCAGTCCTGCACAACATTGCAAGACAGATGCATGAGCCAGAGCCGCCGATACCAGCTGATATTAATCAGGCTGAGCTTGAATACTTGATAGAAGAAGGCCAAATTCCTGAAGTTCCTGTTGCCCAAGAGCCTTTGAATTTTCAAAACCAACTCATTCAAGAATATTTTGCAAATTTATGAATATTTGTTTTTATGGAACTCGAGAAATATAAATCTACCCATCAAAATATTTATGTGAAAATGTTGATAAAAAATATTTATCAATTATGAGAAATAAAACTGAATTATATTTTCGATTCAGAAACTTGTATTTTTAAAAAACATTTATTTTATTAAATAAAATACAATAGTGACAATCGGAAAATATGTGGATCAAATTGCTACAGGGAGTGCCTGAAAACAAATGAACGCTCCTTAGTGGAAAGCTCTGGCTTAAATAATAAATATTTGCTGATCCAAGCATTTTCCTATGCAGGTGGTGGTACTACCAGTGCAGTACCGCTGATTAAGCAGTTTTATATATTTATTAGTATTGACATAGGCGTACGCTTATAATTAACAT